CGTCGTTTAATGTCGTTTTTCGAGGACGTGTATATGCAGAGCTTTATGGGAACTCTCATTGCGTCTTCGAGTTTCCTCTGGCTGACGTTGAGGAGGGGATATTCTGGCAGCTTACGTGAAAGCTAGCATGCTACACGCCAGAGCCGCTCGGGGTTAAGAGGTCGAGCGTTAATTGAAAATAGAACGAAGAGAGGGAGAAAAGCCTAAGGCGAGTGAGGGGAAAAAATACACGTCCATTTTCTTAGGCGTTTTTTTGACGCTTGGTTCTGTCACATGTGCGAGCTTTTGATGGATCGCGCTGGACGAAGCAATGAGTTTTGAGCGTCCATTCCACGCCCAAGCATACAGAGCGCTCGTGACGAGGGGTTTTTGGTGGGGTTTTAGGGAGCTTAAGAGTGGCTCACTACCTCACAAAAGTTTGTATTGATCTTTTTGAGAAAATCGTTAGCAGTATTACATAGCTGTATGTTTTATCGAGGGGGAATGGGTTAATTGAGGATGGTGTGTGTGTAAGTGAGTGAGTGAGTGAGTGAGTGTGTGTGTGTGTGTGTGTGAATGTGCATATTTGTGCTTGTGTATGTGTGTGCGTGCGTGTTCATTTGTGTGCATGTTCTTATTATGTGTGTTCAAGTCGTGTTTCTCTCTGAAAGATCGTCTAGTTTTTGGGTCATCAGATCTAAGGTCTTGTCACTTTTGTATTGCTGCATCTTGGATCTTCAACAAATGAACACATTGACTGACGCCTGACTATATCTTTTAACAAAAAAGGCTTTTATTTTCGTTATCTTCTGCGCACGATACCTTTTGTCATGACGCTTTTCCTTAGTCTCGTCCCAATCTGCTCCGTTTTCATTTATTTATTTATTCATTTATTTAATTTTTGAAAAATGTATTTATTAATTCGTTTATTTATTTGTTTATTTATTGCAAACCAACACGTATAATATATACGATATAACATACTTTGTCTTCAAAGTGACAAAATGAAAAAATGAAGGGTTTAATTGTATAGTGTTTCTTGACTAAATTCATGCAAGTATTTCTGCCCTTTCCGGTTATGATCGTCTGTGCAAGGACAATGAGGCATTGGAATCCGAAATACGTAATAACATTTTGTAAGACACTGAATGCCCTATTATATTCCTTAGCACATTAATCCCTTGGGTGCGACTGTCGTTGAAAGCTGTACCCAGTAACTGGGCCTAAGGCTGCTCTTGGAGGCCGTATATTTCTGTGTAATTGTTGTCCGCCAGCAACGCCTATAGCCAGCAGATCTTCATGTTTGGGTGGGGAAATCATTAGAGTAAAGTGGCCATGTGCGGTCAAATCGAGTGTCCATGAAAAGTTGATGTGCTGACCCTTGGAACGGGAGACACTGGAATTCCCTGGACATTGACCAGTGCGGACGATTAGCAGGCGTGGTCTTATCTACCGGGAGTTCACTCCCCCTGCCTAATCTGCTAATTGCCCTGAGCCAGACGCGGTCGCCTACAGGAAACGGTTACACGACCAGCCCCAACACTAGTGTGTTTAAAAAGAAAGGAAAGGAGGGAGAGTGGGGGCTGGGTTGTTGCGGGGGAGGG